GCAGTCGGGGGCGGGGGTAACTCGTCTAAAGAGATTTCTGCTCTTCAATATTTCAGGCGAGGGAAATAAGTTTAAGAAATTATTCAACGTTACTGTAAAGTTTAAACAAAAAATATAACTCAGTACTCACTGCAGCGTGTGACAGAGAGCGCATTTTCTCGTCGACGAAAACTTGAGGTCACGGACGGACGGACGGACAGACGGACAGACGGACGGACAGACGGACCTGTCTCTTATACACATCTAGATGTGTATAAGAGACAGTCTTAATCCAATGCCTGAATTTAAAGCATTCATGCCATATTTTCTAATTTATAAATCGTAAATAAATTATCGAATTTATTTACGATTTACCAAGTTATTTAATAAATTCCTAATTTTTTAAATATAATCAATACTAAAAAATTATTCTAATTTACGTATACTAATTTTTTCCCATACCATAGTTGCTAACTTCTAAAATCCTAAATGAATTTTTGAATTTTTTAATAAACACGACGTGGTTTTACTACCGATATAATCTCTATTAAAAAATAATTCTAATATACGTATACTAATTTTTTCCCATGCCATAGAAGCTAACTTATGAAATCTTAACTAAATTATTGAATAAATTTAATAATCACACCGTGACTGAATTACCGATATAATCAGTATTATAAAAATTAATCTAATATACGTATTCTAATTTTTTCCCATACCATAGAAGCTAACTTATGAAATCCTCAATGAATTATTGAATTTATTTGATAATCACGCTGCTGTTTTACTACCGATATAATCAGTATTAAAAATATATAAAAAAACGTACTAAAACATACTTATATCAATTTTCCCCCAACAGTCTTCACTTTATGAGATGACGTCATCACGGCGTACCCTATGGCACTTGAACCTGACCCCCTCCCCCCCTCCTCCCCCTGACCAATGCAGTATATCCCCCATTGCGGTAGGCCTAGGGGGGGGGGGGAACCATATCTAATGGGATTTCAGAATCCACATTTCAGCAAAAAATTAAGACCTAACTACCGTGAAGACTGGTAAGAAGTGCTGTACATGTTCTCTTTCAGTATTAGAATACATTTTACTGTTATGGAGACTCACGGTCAGTAGATATGTAGTATAGGGATGATGCAAACCGGTAAGAAGCAGCGCGACACAGCACTCCTCTTACTCCCGCGAGCGGGTGCACACTGGTTGGTTGCTGCCCAGCGTTCGTATTATATACCCCGAGCCTACGGCGCACGCCAGCCAATCACAGACGAGCTTTCATAACGGCTAGCCGACGCTGGTGTTTTCGACTGTGCTTTGGGTTTTTTCATGCGATTTTCAAGATAAAAATATACTTTTTTGGTGTTTACAGTCTGCCTAAATCCCAGGGTAGGATTTCCCTATCGTCCAAACGAAACAGTGTATTTTTTATTATTATAGATGTTTGGATTTTTGATGAATACGAAACTGTTTCAAACAACTGTTTATCATACATTAGTAAATAAATCACACATAATACGCATACGAACAAATACAACAATAATGAGTTGTTCATGAGTGTTATTATGATGGAATATATAATATAAGGTAATATTATGTGTAAAACAGGTGGTATAAGACCATGAGTTATGAAAAAAATTGTACAAATTAAACGCGTGATGGAATGAAGGAAAAACGAAAATGTTTTTAAGTTTTCGCTCACTATTTGGACTTTATTTAGAATAACTAAATTTAGCTTAGAAATAAATTAAATAACAGGATCTTGTTAATACCAGACGTAACTAAGGTGTATATTTTTAACAAGGTTAATTAAATGAATAATGCGAATAAATTAGGTCTATTTAAATATTTTTTAAGAATTACAGTTCAATATAAAAAACACATTACATTTTATTAACAATGATATACTAGGGTTCTTGTTCTTAACAATATAAATAACCATAAATATCTCTTATAAATTATATATAACTGAGATGTGGAAATTTTGAGATGAAAACTGAAATTCTGACGGTGGGGGAGGGTGGGGTTTTGGTAGAGGGGGGTGATGGGGGTGAGGGGGGAGGCAAGCCTAAAGGGATGGGGGAATGGGGGAGGAGGTGGAGGGTTAGGGTAGGGTAGGTGAGGGGGGGATGCTGGGGGTTGACCGCCATGTGAACGGTGCATGGGATGCATGGTGTATATATATATGGCGTGCCTTAATATATACCATATATGGCTTGCCTAAATATGTACCATATATGGCTTGCCTAAATATATACCATATATGGCTTGCCTAAATCGTGGAATTGCCTATTCTATGGAATCGTCAGCCAGCCTGAATCTGTATAATAAGCATTTTGTTGCTGATTTAGAAAATCGGACGTTAGAGTTAGAGTTGGAAAATAAATTGACTGTTAGAGTTAGAAAAGGTTTGTTCAAGTTAATTTATATTTGAATATTAAAAAAATATCTCAGTACGGACAGACGGACGGACGGACAGACGGACGGACAGACGGACGGACAGACGGATGGACGGATGGACGGACAGACAGACAGACGGACAGACGGACGGACGGACATACGGATGGACGGACGGACAGACGGGCAGACAGGCGGACAGACGGACAGACGGACAGACGGACAGACGGACAGACGGACAGACGGACAGACGGACAGACGGACAGACAGACGGACAGACAGACGGACAGACGGACAGACAGACGCACAGACAGACGGACAGACGGACGGACAGACGGACAGACGGACAAACAGACGGACGGACAGACGGACGGATAGACAGACGGACGGACGGACAGACGGACAGACGGACAGACGGACAGACGTACAGACGGACAGACGGACGGACATGGCGACCACAATAGCGCATTTTTTTCCATAAATGAGAAAATGCGCTAAAAATAACTTGGCTGACAGAACATAACATTTATATTATAAGATTAAATTTCTTTTAATATAAAAATACTGATTCTACAGATTCGGCAACCGGCTGCCGATTCTATAGAATAGGCAATTCAACGATTTCGGCACGCCATATATATAATATGTAATAATATGAATGATGTACATATCATTAATATAAATATCATTATGTATGTAATGTATGATATACATATTATGTGATATGACCATACATACATCTTGTATTTTTTCCATTCAGTTTATGGCTCTGTATGTGCTCGTGTACTTTAAAACAAAACTTTTATATTAAATTTAAATTTTACAGTAAAATTAAAAGAGAACCAACGTAGTAATTTAAAATATTTATTTCCTTTATTTATATGAAAAAGTTTTGTTTTTTAGATTAGATCTACTCTAATAAATATTTAATACTAATTGTTCTAATATATTTTATTTTATAATAACATCATTCAAACACAATTCCCTTCGTTAGAATTTTAATTAAAGTTAAATTTCATTATTTAATTAAAAAATAACTGAAATAAAGTTCAGTTATCTTCCAACAACATACATATATTTTATTTAGATTATATCTATTCAAATGTGTTTTGTATGAAGTGTGTGTTTAGCTACGCTCTGTATTTTTCTGTGTTGTTTTGATGCATATGAATAAATCACACAAATATTTCATTTAGATAATATCTATTCAAATGTGTTTTGTATGAAGCACTTGGCTTGTGTTTAGACACGCTCTGTGTTTTTCTGTATTGTTTTGATACATACGAATAAACAACACATATATTTAATTTAGATTGAATCTATTCAAATGTGTTTTTGTATGAAATTTTATTTAGATTGAATCTATTCAAATGTGTTGTTGTATACACTACCTGGGCTGTATTTAGTCACGCTCTGTATTTTTTCTGTGTTGTTTATAAGCTGTATGAGTTTTTGCCCCCGGTCCTGCGGTCACGGCTGAGATGTTGTCTCCAGGCCCGCGTTTTGTTTTAGGCTTCGTAGGCTTAACGCAGCGTATAGGACGAATACCGAAAAATACCAGTAAATACCGACCAAATACTGACCAAATACCAGTATATAAGGGCCAAAAATCAGTAAATACCGACCAAATACCAACAAATTCCAAAAAATACCAGTATATACCGATCAAATACCAGTAAATACCTCTAAATACCGATCAAATACCAGTAAATACCGACCAGATACCAATAAATAACAACTATATACCAGTAAATACCTCGAAATACCAATAAATACCGACCAAATACACTTAAATACCGACCAAATACAGGTAAATTCCGACCAAATACCTCTAAATACCGACCAAATACCTCTAAATACCGACCAAATACCTCTCAATACCGACCAAATACCTCTAAATACCGACCAAATACCACTAAATACCGACCAATTACCTCTAAATACCGACCAAATACCTCTAAATACCGACCA